CGGCTTCCACAGATGAATTTTTTAATGTATTCATTGCTATCGGGATGTTAAGAGCATTCCATGGAATATAACAAAAAGTGTTTCTGAAGGGAATTACCTACCTTACCTTTTAAAGCACTTCCATTTTATTTGCCATTTTAGCATTTTTACTTATTTTATGTAATCTGCCTCTTCAACCTTTTAATATACTCCACATTTAAATTGTTCATTGTTTCTGTGGCTGTGTTTTCAAGCCTCATCTAAACAATGCCTCCTTTATTTATCGTGCAATACCTGGGAAACCTAATATATCAGTACAGCACAAATGTAGTTTACAACGATAGTGGTTAGTTTCTGTAAAGTACAATCTTTTTTCAGTGTGTGGTTACGGCTTGATTAATGTAAAAAAAGGAAAGGAAATATTTGGATATTTGCATTTTTAAGTGAAACCCTGATTGCATTATAGGTTATCATTGCAATTGTGCAGCCCTAGTGTAAAAATACATTTCCTTTATTTCAAATTCAGTATTTTTTAAAAGGCTTTACTGGGCAATACAAATCTAAATTCCCAGGCATTTCGATGCAACATGCATGAGACTTAAAGGTACTGTAGGTAATTCACTTCAGAAACACTTGTTGTTATATTCCATGGAATGCTCTTAACATCCCGATAGCAATGAATATATTAAATGCTTTGACAATAAATACATAAAAAAAATGTCATCTGGAAGCCGTGGCGCTGTAAAAAGCACGACCAATCATCTGAGCCGGCCCGGGTAAAATAACTGGATGGCCTACCTGCCTGTCAGCCTTCCATCTGTGCACAAACTTATCTCGTGCCCTCATTGGTCATGTGTGCGTTCGTGTGTTGGAGGAGGGGCTCTGTGAGGAAGTCTGAAGGAAGGGGCAGATTTTTTTCGGTTGTGTATTTTCAAATTCTAGCGCACTCGAGCTGGTTTCTCCATTCTTACCTACCCTACCTTTAAGACATAAATGAAAAAAAATCATAAAATAATACAAAACACACAGTGCATGTAAAAATGCAGAAGTAAGTAAACTTTGTACATGTAGAATACAGAATGTAAAATGTAAATCTCAGGAAAGCTTGAAAAACGTCGTGATAATACCGTTCACCATTATATTATGGCCACAATAACTAAAGCAGAATAACCAACGTGAGTGTTGTCTCCTCACTCATGCTCCTCTTCCTCCTGCAGCTGGTGGAGACGTCTCTGAAGGGCGAGATCACCTACGACCCGTGCTGCGCCTACTACCTGTGGTTCGTCATGGACTTCTGCGACGGTGGCGACATGAACGCCTACCTGCTGTCGCGCAAACCCAGCCGCAAGACCAACACCAGCTTCATGCTGCAGCTGGGCAGCGCGCTCGCCTTCCTGCACCGAAACCAGATCATCCACCGCGACCTCAAGCCCGACAACATCCTCATCTCGCAGGCCTGCACGCCGGCTGGGAACAGCGAACCCACGCTCAAAGTGGCCGACTTCGGGCTGAGCAAAGTGTGCTCCGCGTCCGGGTTGAACCCCGAGGAGCCGGCCAGCGTCAACAAGTGCTTCCTGTCCACGGCGTGCGGCACGGACTTCTACATGGCCCCCGAAGTGTGGGAGGGACACTACACGGCGAAAGCGGATATCTTCGCTCTGGGCATCATAATCTGGGCGATGGTGGAGCGCATCACCTTCGTGGACGTGGAGACGCAGAAGGAGTTGTTAGGGACTTACGTTCAGCAGGGGTCGGAGATCGTTCCGCTTGGCGAGGCGCTGCTGGAGAACCCCAAGATGGAGCTGCTGATCCCGGCCAGGAAGAAGAGCATGAACACACACATGAAGCAGCTTATCAGGGACATGCTGTCGGCGAACCCTCAGGAGCGACCGGACGCCTTCGAGCTGGAGCTCCGGCTGGTGCGCATCGCCTGCAGAGAGCTGGACTGGGACACGTGACGAGGCACGGGAGAAACAACTGGATCTCAAACCCGGGGATTATTGGTTTCATTGGAACAAGGGAAGAATAATTAGTTGTTGGGTCAGGTGGATTTGTCTGTTGAAGGAACAGATCGACAATCTGGGTGTAATGGGTAAACTGTAAATGTAAAACAGCTTCCACAAATTAGAAAACATATTCTTTAACTCAAAGAAATGTATAGAAAATATAAAACTGACCTAAAAATGTACATGCGCTCATTTTGAAATGTAGAAGACAAAAAAAAGACACTTATAGTTTTAAACTCTCTTTGAACTAAAAGGTGTTGACATTTGGATGACGATTACAAAAGATATATCTATTCGGAGCCTTAGTGTAAAGAAGACTTCCTATATCTCTTAGGAAAACTTGGAAAACCTGCATAATATCGGACATTTGATCAAAATCACAATATGGACTCGTGCAACATCAAAAATACTGAAAAAACAAACATTTTTAAAGACTTCCAAGATGCGTTAAAATATTCATAAATGCCCAAAAAGTGTTATAAAAATTTAAAAAAACTTGTACATTCACAGATTTGTGGAATTTGTTTGTAAATTTGCCAAATAGTTTACAAGCTTAATTCTGCATTTGTGGACGGGGTTTTCCTCACAGATTGCTGCTCTGTTCACACTTCATCATAATATTGAGACAAATCTACCTCCATATTTGTTTCATGGCTTCCTCCACTGTCTGAGCACATGCAGTCCTCTCGCTGTGACTTTATATTCCGGTTCGCTGCTGCTGCTGCTTCTGCTTCTAATGGCGGCTGAGTCTCAGGCTAATCACATCACAGCTTCCACTTCCTCCCCGAGCTGCTGGAAGAGCGAAATGAGCAAGAAGTCCCGAAACTCAATTAGAGAAGACAGTTTGTCTACAAATACCATCCTGCCCCTCGGTGCTAATTGTGACTAAATGCAATATGAGACATTATCCTGTGATCATTACAGCGTACATTCATCCAAAGGCCACCTTTAGCTTAGCGGTGGTGGCGTGAAGTCATGTGACCATGCTTTACTTCCTTTATAGCCTAACGTTAGCCACCTTTAGCTTAGCGGTGGTGACCTGAAGTCATGTGACCGTGCTTTACTTCCTTTATAGCACTTCAGAAACCATATTATGTCAGCTGTAGAGTTTATACGGAGCTTACTTTCTGCAATAACCTAAAATCCAATGGAGAAATCCTATTGGCTTTTTGTTGAGAGAACCAGGGAGATGATGCCTTCAGGGTCAGCTGACAAAAATCCGTCATCCCTGCACCACTTTTTATTAAAACACAATCACCTCATGTGTTTAATGAAAGGCTTTGACAGAACTGGTACATGACCACCAGCATACATACATACAAACATCAGATCCTATTCTGTGTTAGGCATCAAATGCTCAGGTAACAATAACTAACTGCATGTTGGTATTTGTAGACAAACATCTGAGGAGGGAAAAATACTGATATTTAGTGGTTGAAGTTGATTTCTTACATTTGTAATCGTGCTGCTTTGTTGTTTTCTTTTAGGTGGGGCACGGTCTATCAGTCATTGAGCAGCAGGCAGGTGCTTATGGTTGCATTTCTCCTCTCTTTCTGCTCATTACAGACTTCTTGATAAGTCGACAGTTTCCAGATAACGCCCACACAAGAATGTAAAACAAGACCGTCGCCTTTATTTATACGGAGCCAATTCATTTGAATTAGACCCAGTTAATGAGGAAGTAATGATGGTTTATTACAACTTTAAAAGTCCAGGCCATTGTCCCTCTGACGGTGTTACTGCCCCCTTTTAGGTATTATTGCTGTGCCTGTTATTATAACAAATGTTCCTATGATATGAATGTAGTTCAGTGATAGCGGTGGCAGATTTATGACTCATCATTGGTTGTAATATATGTAACTTTTTAACCTCGATTGTAAACTAAAATTGCCTCTTTTTCAGTAGATTATTGTCAATTTTTCTTTATGAAATGACAACTGTTCCTGCAGATTTGCTTAGTTTTAGCTATGTAGTAATGCCTAATATATATATTTTCTGTGTATTGAGAGTTTGAGATTTTTCTGAATTTAAAAAAAAAAAGATTTTTTCCCCTGAAGTCAATTTTCTGAATTTACAGGAAAAAGTCAGAATTAAAATAGAAACAGTCTGAAAAATAGATAAATAATAATCTAATTAAATGATATGGCAGTACCACCACACCCTACTAAATGTAGCTTTTAAGTCAATTTCTTACAAAAAAAGGCTTGTTTTAAGTAATATTTTGGCTCATTAACAACAATTCTGATCGCCTTTTCCCCCAAATCCAATAGAAAAAATGTCCCCAAAAGAAAACCAAAGTTGTAATGAACCAGAATGATCCTTTCTTTAAGTCAAAACCAAGAACACTACTATAGAGCCTCTGTGCAAAACTCATGGCAAACAAATCCATGCATAAAGATGTAATTATCTGAAGCTGTGACGAGACCTGGACAAAAATATTTGAGTGAATGTCACGGAAAGCTCTTTTCACGTTTATATGTGTTCCTCATGAACTTCCTGCTGCGTTATATATTACTCAGAAGATGTGAGGCAGCGTGATAATGGCCTTTTGGTTACGAACGTCAGCCAACGGTCTACTTCTGCATGCAGTGCCTCTCCCCTTCAGAGAGACGACACCAGCAACAACCCTCCATGAGCCAGACGATCTCTTATATCGGGAAACATAATACTGTTGTGTTGAACTTGATCTCCTCTCACTGTGTCACTGGCTCTGGATCTTACAGTAATCCCTTTCTCCATGCTTCCACAGGCTCTTTTTTTTAAGCCTATTAAGTTGTTGCAGCACTTGGCAGAGGATCACGCTCTTTTTTGGGGCTTTCAGGTCATAAATAATGAGTGCACTTTTTAACACATTTTACAGCCGCTTTTTCAAAAACCAGTCTCTGATCCCAAACTGATGGGGAAAAAAATGGACTTAAAGGGACTGTGAGTGAGCAACAACTCGGACATCTTTGGAGGATTACTTAGGATAACTTAACCCTTAAATGAGCATTCAATATATTGATATTATCTCATTTACTTTGGACCGTATTACACCCATGCTACACTGTTAAATACCCTTATTACACCCCTATGACACATTGACATTGAACCCATGTTACACCATAATACACCCGTATTACTTACACCCATGTTACACAGTTATAAAACCCAAGCAACACCAATATTACCACCATAGTACACTGTAATTACACCGTTATTACACCCATGCTACACTGTTAAAGACCCTTATTACACCCCTATTACACATAGTCATTGAACCCATGTTACACTGTTATAAGACCCAACACCAATTGTACCACCATATTACAACACATTGTACATATGGGCACAACCTATCAAATACATGTATCCCCCAGGATGAAAAACAGCTGACAGATTACTTGTAAACGTTGACTATCTGCTACATAGCCTACAATTCTCCCGCCTTTTTTTTGTTTCACTTCCTGTCGTGGTTGCGGTTAAGATTTGCCTTATTTCCTGAAAATCGACCTCGTTGATATTGCAAACACAGGATTAGCAGAAGTTGTGTTTGTCACGGATCAGTATTTAAAATCAAACATATTATTTTTCCTGCAGGACATCCATGATGCTTTGGACAATTCAAGAATGTGTTTTGGTTTTGCTGCTCTAAGCAAAGCAAAGGATGATGGGTAATGGAGTCTTTTCCTGCCACATTAAGAGACTAAGCTTCCTGCAAAGTAGCTTCCTTTTTTTTGCCAAACATAAGGTCGATCTTGGGTTTTAAGAGATGTTTGGTTGTATTAAATTCCTTTGCACATGTGTAAATACTGTACAGCGTGTGGGGGGGGGAGGGGGGCTTAGGGGGGTACATTTGACTGTTAAAATTTGCTGTGATGGATTTAATTTGACTTCTTGGTTTGGTTCACATTATCCATGGGAAGATGTAATATATATTTACAGGTTAATACTGTTGGTGTGCTCGTGCTAACTGTCTTTCGTTTGCCAACTGTTTGTGAATGTGTGTAGCTGGTTAACAAATCAAATGGTCTTTTTCTGTCTGGGCTTTTTAAGAAATTAAGCGGTCTTCTTTTGGGACAAAAAGTAAACCTCAACATTTGAAAAGCTCTGATCCACGACTAGCTGACACCGTACTGCTTTCACTATCTCCTGAAACTCAGATATTCTGCTTAAAATATGGATTTAAGAATAAAGTGTATTTTTCTGTTAATTTCTAGATCTTTTTTCACGGAAAAATAAGCAGTTTGGAGTTGAGACACAGCTTGCTCTTTTATCCAGTAAGTTCGTTTTTCCTACTTGTCACTCAGCAATAAGATCTGCTCCCCTTCACTGAGATCTGATTATTGTGATGAATTTCATAAGCTGCTAAACTAATGAAATAGTCCTGGATCAGAGCTGCAAATTAAACATGTGTCCCGGATCAGAAGAAGACCTCCTCTCTCACTTTTGTACGAACAACTTTCTGCTCTTGTCATTGTAAAATATTTTGAAGAGAAAATTAAATGAAGTTTATCAAAAGTGGTGTTCAATTTGTCAATCACTGTTGAATTGAATTAGATAAAAAAAATGAACAATATAATAATACAAAATTATAATAAAAAAAGAAATAAAAATTGTAATAATTACATAAATAATAACACAATGTTAAATAAATACATTAAAAATAATGATACAGAAATTACGATAAAGAATACAATAAATAAAAAACATGAAATATATACTAAATGTCTGTATTTTCCGTATTTATGTATGCATTTATTTACTATTTTATTTATTTATTCATGTGTTTATTTCCAGATTTATTTATCTCTACATTTATTTATTTATCTATTTATTCCTGTATTTAATTATGTACATTACATTACATGTCACTTGTTAGATGTTTTTATCCAAAGCGACTTACATACTCAATACTGTGGACAATCCCCACAGGAGCAATTTGGGGTGAAGTTTCTCAGGGACACAACGACATGCTGACTGCAGTGGGGTTTGAACCTGTGCTCCCCTGATCCGAACACCAACGCCCTAGTCCACTGCGCCACAGCCTCCCTATTTATTTTATTAATGTTTTTATTCATACATTTATTCATGCATTTTTTTATTTACCCATATGTCATGTTCCGTCCTCCATATAAGTGAGGGTCTGAGCTCTCTTAATCCCATCGTGGTAATATGAGTGTTGTAAAACTGTGAAGTGTCAGTGGTTCCACCGATCTTTAGCTCTATCTGAAGCGGTCACGTGTTATCGAGGAGCAGCGAGGCTTCGTTTGTCATCGATGACGTCACTGGCCTAAAACGACACAAGCCTCGATACGTTCTTATTATACATCCATGCTCGATACACACTTCACCAAAAACTTCCTGGATTACTCGAACCACGATAAGCAGCCTCGGTGCAGTACGTCACATCACTACTGTTCCCTCCTTAGCTCTAGTCTCCTTGGCTGATTTCTCTAATTGATTTCACCTGACCTGATGAGGAGGAAGCTGCTCGCTCATTCAGCTGCAGGTTTGTGCTCCAACATCTCAGAAGAATACCTGTAGCTGCTCAGGTGAATCTGAAGATCTTCGTCATCTGGAGCCAAGGTGAGTTAGCAGATATAAACAAAAAAACAATATTTGAACGATGTATTTCTCATTGTTTTAATTTGTTTAGCATTTGTGTGGCAGTCAGCCCTCTGCAGGCGGAGTGAACAGCAGCTCAGCAGTGGCATCAAAGGTGTTTTACTCTGTTACTGTTGGTTTCATCTGAACGTTGCAACTTTTGACCAGTTTGAAAGTGTAATAAAGCAAAAAGTACAATTCCTCCCCCAAATCTATCGGGTACACCTTTTTAGCAAACTTGATGCCAACTTAGTGCCAACTTAGAACATTTATAGCTAAAAAACGTAATTTACACAAAATCAAACCTTTTTTTGAGTGAAAATGGTCAATTAGTTATTTTGTTTTTGCCTGAAGTTGAGATCAAATTAGCTTGATGTTTTATCACTGGTAAATGTCAACGTATTTTTGTTTACAAACTATTTCACATTATTTGTAATTCCCACGAGGATAAGAGGTGCTATACAATTGAATAAAACTCCCCAAAATTATAATTCTTCTTGCAAACGCCGTGCTATGGAACCATGCATTATTGCAGGCGTTTTGGGTAACTTGTGTGCTTTTATTCTATGTTTTTATAGTGTTTTTAATGTGTATTTCACAATGTATTGTGTTTCTAGCACTTCCTAATCCTAACACGTGGTTTATGTGGTCATTTCATATTTTATGATTCGTATGATGTTTTAATGCTTTGTCAAGCTATGTGACTATGTCTGGGAAAAGCGCTTTATAAATACATTTTACTTACTTACTTATTTCTGCTGCACTTACATGAAATAACCCCTTAAACCCTTTTATTTACAGCTCATATTCTATCAAACTTTGATGCGTTTGCTCTCCACAGATGACCGTCCTTCAGATCTTGCCGTGCTCGGTGTCTCAGTTGCTGTCTGCGTCTAAAGTCAGCAGCGACACGTTTGCACTCTGCGACCTGGAGTTCAACCAGGTGTGAGCCATCACCATCTAAAGAGGATTTCACTCTGCAAAAATGCATATCTTTTAGTTAAGATATTGGGAATTTTTTTTAAAGATATGGGACATCCTATGATGAACAAGTCAGTATAACACTTTCCAAGAACGTCAAAAAATAAGGTTTGGCCAATAAATTCAATGGAAAATGTGCAACCATGCTTTCTTGGTCACTGTTCAGAACTCCATTGAAAATCCTGGAAGTTTTAAAGCCACTCAAACACACACAGAATATCTTAAATGGCCACATTTCTGAATGTATTTTGGTTTAATGATGACTTGGGTTTGCTTCCTCAGGTGTCTGTCGTTGGCGTCGTCAGAGAGTTGGCTCCTTTTGTGAAATACGTCCAATACTGTTTGGACGACATGACGGGTCCTCCTCTGACCGTGAGGCAGTGGGTGAACTCAGAGGCCAGTAACAGATTTTTTTCCCTCAAAATTCTGACTTGTTTCTCAAAATTCAGAATTTGTGTCAAAATTCAGAATTTCCCCAAAATCTCAAAATTCTTACTTTTTCATACTTGTTCTAAAAAAAAATTGACTTTCTCAAAATTCGGACTTTTCTAAATACATACTTACCTACTTCAATATCAGGAATGGATCCATGTATTTCAGATCTTCTCCAGAATGGAAGTAATCATCACATACAGAGCATCAACTAGTTCCTGAACAGTGTCCTTCACATGCTGATATCCAAGAGAGGGAGTTACACAGTCACAAGATGGAGGAATAGAAAGCAGTATTCAATGTTTACTTCAGATTAGCTCCACGTCAGAAATGATCATGCTTGTCATATGTCTCTCTCCATAGAGGCTGAATCATCATGTTAATCACATAGCTATCATATGCCTCAAACAGTCCTGATGCTCTTCTAGGTAATCACACATCCTGTCATGTTCACATGAGATACCTTTGTTATCATGTGCACCTCTGTCCTTGAAAGAGCACATTCAGGATGTTCCCAACAAACAGGATATCTTCAGTCCAGATAACGCTGTAAACTACACTTATAATAATAATTAGGGATGTCCCGATCACCTTTTTTTGCTTCCGATCATTTGATTTTGAAAATTTGCCGATACCGATTTTTCCGATCTTTATGCAATGCATTAAGAGAAAAAAAAGAAAAAAACCATTCAAGTTGTCCCTTAAGGTTATTTTTTTATTTAAATTGGATATTCTATCCAACATGGATATAGCTTCTTTCTTTCACAGCAGCATTGGATCAGTTCAGTTGTGCAGCATTGGATCAAAACAAAATAAAGCTTTCAGTACTTGTTAGCTTACTGCTACAATTAGACACTGCGCCCTGCCCACCCTGTTGCCAGATTTGAGAGAAATAAGCAACCAGGTCTATGAAAAAAAAACGCAAAGAAGCAACACATACATGATGTTCTGTCATTTGAAACCAAAACTAAGGCCTCAGGATGACTTTAAGACTTGAACATGGTCATTTTTGTTTTGTAACATTGAATACAAAAATTAAAAAAAAAAGTATTTAAAAAAAAAAAGAAAAATA